CATATCACTATAAATTATAAATAAATAAATTAGATAAAGTTTTAAATTAATTTAAAAAATCATAAATTATTTGTCTTATATGATAAAAAAAATTAATTTAAATACACTAAAAAAGTAAAAGAAAAATTGCACAATCAAATTATGAACGGTTATCTTAGCGAAAATCATTGAACTTTATATATCCACATAAAAAAAATTTATTTATGATATATTTTAATTGATTAATGGTGACAAATTTTTTATACTGATATTGTACTACAATTAAAATTTAAAAAACATTAATATCAAATAAAAAATTTTATTTTTCTTAAAATATATTTTTAAATAGAAAAATTAAATCAAAAGTTTGAACATATGATTCAAACCAAATTTTATCACTAATTTTCATCAAGTTTCAACTGATTCAATGTTCGATTCATAAACAAATATAGAAACTTCTTTCATTATAGCATGTATTATTTAAATGTAAAACTATATATTAAAGAGTCTAAATTAATGAATTTCTGAATCTATCATCACTCAAAGTCGAATTAAATACTAAATGGGGCGTAGACGGCTAACTAAACTAACTGTACTTAATTGTGCTAATACTATGTTTTAACAACTCAAACCACATGAGATAATTTGAGTTTAATTAAAACAATTATTATTATTATGAAATTGTAAACTAATAATATGATTAATAAAATAAACCATAAAAATTATTATTTTTTATATTTTGTAAAAAAAATATTTATAATTTTTGATATCACTGAAGTAAGTTAATATAATTTAATTATTATATAATTTTGATAAAAATATTTATTTCACACAAAAAAAATTAATATCTAAATAATAATATATATAATTCTTAATTTTTTTATTTAAAATTTTATTTTATTATTTATCTGTTTTGTCATTCTTTAAATATAATTACAGTCGTAGATAGTAATTTTTACAATAAAAACAAAAAAATAATATAAAATTTTTGTCAATATAAAAGATACATATTTTAAAAATTATTTTTATTAAAATTATTTTATAATACTATAATATTTATGCTTTATTAATTTATAAAAATATATATTTTAATTAATAAATTGTATAACTATTATAGATATAAGTTATACAAATTTAAATATCTAACATGTGCATAAATAAAAAAATACAAAAAATAAAAATAAGTTCAATTTAATTAAAAAAACCGACAAAACCCTAAACACAACACGATTAACATTCGGAACCCTGAAGAAGAGACGACGACTTTGATATTCCTAATGTCATTCTCAAGGTTAAGCTCTTCTCTCCGTCTCGCTGTTATCAAGTTTCCTCCTTTTCTTCTCTATTTTCCTTCATCCTCACTCCAAATCCGATTCATTCACAATATTGATGTTGATGATGCTGTTGCCTCGTTCAATCGCATGCTCAATACGCGTCCTTCCCCACCCATTATTCAATTTAACAAGATTTTGGGGTCACTCGTTAAGAACAAGCAATTCCACACTGCCATTTCCCTTCTTCAAGAATTGGGATTCAAGGGAATGGAGCCAGACATTTTTACTTTTAACATTCACATCAATTGTTTATGCCAACTGCGTCATATGACCTTAGCTTTCTCGGTATTGGCCAAGATCTTCAGATTGGGTCATCAGCCTAACATCGTAACCTTCTCTACACTCATGAATGGTATGTGTCTTGATGGCAACGTTAGAAGAGCACTGCATTTTCACGACAAGATGGTAGCTCGAGGATTTCAGATGAACCAATTTAGTTACGGGATTCTGATCAATGGATTATGTAAAATGGGAGAAACAAAAGCTGCCATTCAATTGCTTAGAATGATTGAAGCGCGATCGATTCAGTCTAATGTGGTAATTTACAGTACAATCATTGATAGCTTATGTAAAGATAAACTTTTGACCGAGGCATGTGATCTTTTTTCAGAAATGATTGTCAAGAAAATTTATCCCAACTTTGTCACTTACAGTAGTCTAATGTATGGCTTTTGCCTTTTGGGTCAAGTGAAGAAAGCAGTTGGTTTGTTCAATGAAATGGTATTGAAAAGAATCAACCCAAATGTTTATATCTACAACATATTGGTTGATGCACTGTATAAGCAAGGAAAGGTGAGAGAAGCTAAAAATGTGTTAGCTGTGATGATAAAAGATGGTGTGAAACCTAATGTTGTTACGTATAATACTTTGATGGATGGCTATTGCTTAGTTAACGAAGTAAAGAATGCCAAATGTGTATTCAACAACATGATCCGAAATGGAGTAATCCCTGATTTGCATAGCTACAGCATAATGATTAGTGGATTATGCAAGATTAACATGGTGGATGAAGCCATGGATCTCTTTGAAGACATGCATTGCAACGGTATGGTTCCAAATACAGTAACTTACACTTCTGTTATTGATGGTTTGTGCAAATCAGGAAGAGTTTCTTATGTTTGGAAGCTTATTGATGAGATGAATGACAGAGGTCAACATGCTGATATAATTACCTACAGTTCCCTACTAGACGCATTATTCAAAAACCATCATTTAGAGCAGGCAATAGCATTATTCAATAAAGTAATAGACAAGGGCATTCATCCAGATGCATATACATACACAATACTTATTGATGGACTATGCAAAGGCGGAAGACTCAAGGATGCACAAGAGATTTTCCAGGCCATTTTGATTAATGACCATGTGGAAGCATATAATGCTATGATCAATGGGCTTTGTAAGGAGGGCTTGTTTGATGAAGCATTAGCCTTGTTGTCAAAGATGGAAGACAATGGTTGCAGCCCTAATGCTATAACTTTTGACATAATGATCTGTGCTCTCTTTGAAAGAGGTGAGAATGATACAGCTGAGAAACTTCTTCATGAAATGGTTGCTAGAGGCTTATTCTGAGATTAAAACTAATGCTTTCCACTTACACTTGTTATGGAACATTTTCTCAAGAATCATAGCTGGCATGTGGCTCAAAACCATGAGAAATCCAGATGTCAAACTTGTGAAGGAATAAGCATATCCAGTTTCCTTTTCTTCTGCTGCATTCTCTACTTCCCTTCCTTGATGGACCTTCCTGATCTAGCAGCAACCACCCTTAAGCCCATCTAAGCCATCAACAACAATCCCAGCATTCCCACAACAATCTGATGTTGCAGTGTGCCCTCTTACACTCTCAGATGAGTTCTTTGATGGGATAAAAGTGCATGTGGTGTCACCAAAGATGATGGTGACAAGGAACTGCACCACAGTTGGTACTGCCCAGTGCTTGCAGCATTGCTGTATTCTGCGTACTCTTACATTGCACTTGGCATGACCATGGCCATGCCACATCATTATATGACATGATGCCTATGCTGTCAGATGACTCAGAAACCTGGGTGAATGAGTTGGGAAAGGTTTTGAAAGTAAGAGGCTTTTAACTGACAAGGCCTAATGAAACATGTTATGTGTATTGTTTTTGTGGCATTAGGCTCCACCCCTTGAACTGCCCTGATGCATTTTCTCTGAGCCAAAGTGAAGAACTTGTTGTGGATGCAAGTGTGAGAGGGTTGGAGAAGAATTGCTTCAGTAGCACCACAAATGTTAATGGTTTTCCTGGTCGGTGTTCCAAGTGCTTAAATAGCCTTTATTTGGTGAGTTTTCCTTATTAAAAAAAAAAGTTTTTTTTTTATATAGGATATCTTTTCGTGATTTTGCTTTGTTCATTGTGAGTTGGAGTTTGATGGATCTTGTTGAAAATTGAAGATCAAGATGGTTTGTTTTTCATCTTCATTCATTCTTGGTATTTAGTAAAATTGTCTCTTTTCTTGTTTCTTTATTGGATGTTGGTTGCTTTCTAAGTTTTTACACAATTCTTCACGCGCTATTGGAGCTTGTATGGCCCAAGAAAGTGAAAAGAGCCAACAGTGGAGTAGTGGAACACTTTGTAAACAGTAAACATGTTGTCACGTTAGGGAAAATAAAATACTCCACTCTAATGTCTTAAAATAAAATTCTTAAACGAAAACCTTAGCATAGCTAGAAACTACTAAGCACTTGCAACGTGATCTTGATACTTGAAAATAAGTTGTAGTTTTGGATTCTTAGTATTAAGATCAAAGTTGAGTTAGCTGTTAGCAAATGTGTCTCTTTTTCTCATAGCTTTGCTTGCAAAATAATTGGTTGGGGACATAGTTGTTAATAGCGTGCTATAGTGGTGCTGTCGCACTAGCGCGGTGTGGCTGTCAGCCGCCACTGCTGCCACACTGCGGGGCGTTTGTCATGTTCATTGATTGCATGGGGTCCGTGGACAGAAAAGGGAGAAGTTCGCATGTTCAATCGTACAAAATTGGGGAAGCAAGAAACCCTATTCTGATTTTTGCTAAAACGCAGCATTTTAATTATTTCTAAGGGTAAAAAAGTCATTTACCCTTTATAAAACATAAAACATGTATATCGATTCCATCTTCCTCACACCTTGCCTCTCTGCACGAAAAGTTGGGGCCTCAACATAGCGGTTTCTCTCCTCTTCACTGGGTAACCCATTCCATTTCGACGGAGAAATCAGCTTTTTCGACGTCTCCTCTGTTTTGTTTGTTGAAAGAGATAAAGCTCTGTTTTTCTGCTGTTTTTTGTTCACTTTATCACTCTTGCTTCAAACTCTGCTTTTTTGCTGTTTTTTTTGTTCATTGATACTTTTATATATGTATATTATAAATTTTTAAATAGTAATTATCCTGTCACACGCTATTTTGCTATTGTGTTTTACGGATCAATCACTATTTGCCATTCGAGATTAACAATTATGATTGGGGATTGATCAGAACAAGTAACAATCCAACTAAGGATCAATTATATAATATTTAACGAAAAGGATGAGCACTGAACCTTGTTATATCAAACACTACACACATTACATACACACATCAATAAACACAGATTCTTACATATTACAACATATGAAGATCAAACACACAAACACACAAGCCATTGGTTTGGCATTTATTCTAATACATTCTTCAGTAATTGCCTGCGTTAAGTTGCTTGAGCTTGGCCAAAAGGAACCCACATAGTTTGAATAAATGGTCGTCCCCTTTTCTCCATCGAAATTGTTTTCAAACGATGCTGCCTTTCGCTGTACAAAATCTCAGCAAACCTTCACAAAATAAAAACAGACCCCTCAAAAAAATGGATTGATTATAAACTTAACAAATATTTCGTTCAGAATATGATCACTTCCATCAACCATATATATATAGATACACACCTGTCAAGAGCCTCGGCATAGGTACCCTCACCAGTTTCTTCGATATCAAAAGAATCAACATTAATCTTCCTGACATTTTTTTTCAACAGGTCTTTTCCCACCTGTTCGAGATTGTCCATGTTTTCTTTTGTAGCATTAACCATGTTATCCAGGAAATAAGGCAGGTCATATTCCTGCAATTACTTTATTCATTAATTATTCTAAAATAAATAATCCATAAATATTACCAAATCATGCGTATGATAAAATATTAAAAAAAAATGTCAAAATTTGACTTAATTTCTTCACAACAACACGTATTAACGTGATTAGTCTATTTTCTAAAAAAATTTGCAGATGGTCTAACAAAATTTGTAGTAACCACATTATAAAATATGAGTTGACTCATTTTTAAAAAGCTAAATTAAGAAAGAAAAGTTCATCAAACTTTATGAAAAAAAATAGTGATCGTATTCTTAATTAATGTTAATATCTATTGAAATAAATTATTTATAAGAGGTGTATCGACATTCAACATTCCTTTCTCAAAACTTGAAATTGGAGTTACGACTTTGAAGAAGTATACCTCAACTCGAAGGTAGGTTTTGGCAGGTTGGGGGCTTGGGAACACTGTGGCAAGGTGATTTTCAGTCATGTCTGTAGAAGCACGAGCAAGAAATTCTGGTCCTTTATATAGCCAGTCCAACTGTGACCATCTACCAACGATTTCAGCATCGTATTGTTCGATAACTGTTGTTACTCCTGTTCCTAACGATAGTACGTGAATTTCGCTGAAACTGTTGTATCGTATACCTTCACTCACGGCACTCTTCGTCTGATGAACCATATATGTAGATAATTAATTATCTCTTTCATGTTTTATCATAAGAAAATTGCACTATTTATTTATAATATTTTTGTTTGAATGAGCTGAAAAAATATATTGATCTATCTAGTGACACATGTTGTCTTTGAATGAGCTGAAAAAAAAAATATATTGATCTATCTAGAGACATGTTGCCTTTTCCTTCAATTAATGTTATATAATTGATTCAAATGCTAACTATATTATTGTATCAAATATAAATTTAAAAATAAGATCAATAATTTAGGAATTATTAAATATGATTTCAAATTATGTTTATATTTTTAAATGAGTTTAAAAACTTTTAATACTAGTCGTAACATGTACTTAATGTAACCCTTTTATTAAATAAAATTCACTTTGAATGTCAATTAATTATATATTTTTTTTCGTTTGTAAATTTCAAGGGGCCAAAAACGAACAAAATAATTTTAAAAAATGAAAAATCTAGCTAACTATTGAGGTTATGGATGGCTCAAAAACACATCATGGAAAATAAAATCTACTAGAGAAGAACATATACCGTGATCATTCTCGTTGAGATTTTTGTTGGCAAGTCAATTTTGCACAATAATTTTCTTTTCATGTCCCAAGTTAACCACTTTAATATGATTAAATTATATTTAAAACTTGTATCTACTTTTATATATTTTAGATTAAATAAGTAAAACCTATTCAATTTTTATTAGAAGAGATAAACACAAAATATTAATAAGAGTACCTATGATTTATATGAGATTAGCCTTATGGTTGAATAGTGGGCTTCATTAATAATAATAGCATCAAACTTGTAATTAACTTGTTTACCGGATTACCAGCAGCAACACCACCATCAATCAAATTGAACTCAGTACCATCATTCTCAAATTGATAGGGAGGTAGAGTTTGGGGTGCAGCTGAAGTCCCTATGCATATATCTGACATCTTCGCATTTAAGAAGGGATAATTCGTCAGCTGCAAGACCAAAGTTGCAAAACAATATTCAGCAATTGTATCCAATTAATAGCTAGATCAAAGTCCTATCCATTTATTTTACTTATAGGAGAACATTAGATAATTATTCAAGTATTTTTAATATTTCTCTAATTAAAGTTTGTTTTAAGAATTATATATAATGACAACTTTAAATATTGATTATAATTTTATATTTGTATACATACTAACCTTATAATTTGAGAATATAACTGGTTTCTTTATCTTCACGTCAAAGGTTGGGATTACAACATGTGTCAATGTATCACTCAGTCGAGTGTCTTGCAATATCTCACGAGTTATATTATGTAAGAACTCCCCATCGTACCCTGCCCAGGTCTGGATGTTTTTCCATTATGACAATCCAAAAATTAATATATATATATATATAGAGAGAGAGAGAGAGAGATGTTTAATAAAATATATTAAATGAAAAAATTATAATTTATACTTACGTGTAATTTGCTTAAAAAGAAAAAGTTTATAGTAAGTTGTAACTATTATTAGTCATAATTTTAATACTACTTCATCGATTTTTTTTCAAATGTTATAAAACGCTTCTATTTAGTAATTATCAAACTATTCTATTAACTTATTAAAACTAGTTATAAAATTTTAAATAAATTATACATTTAAATAAATTATACTATTTAGTAATTATCAAACTATGCTATTAACTTATGTCACTATCTTATATGATGTAAGACCCTATGAACGCAAAATATCATTGAGCAAAATTCACGAGAGTTTTACTAAATATTAAATGTTTTACTTCCTATTTAAAGTTTCATGTTTCATTTGTTGGTGCATAATGTTTTATTTTAATACTCCCTACGTTGTTTTAAAAGAAAAAAGAAGTTTGTCTATTAATAAAAAAATAAAATTTTTATGATAATAATAGGAAAAAAATGTGATAGCAAGATACTAAGATTACTCATTTACATAGATTAGGATGGGTTTAGGTATGCTAACCATCTCCTTCGATTAAAAACGCATTAAATTAATAAGTATATATATTTAAATCTAACGAGTTATAATTTATTACTTCATTAGTCGTTAGATTTTTAACATAATACTATGTATATAAATTATAATTTTCTTGCAATATAATCATAATTAATTTAATTTTTATTAATAATATATTATATAAAGATGAAAAAAATACCAATTTGAAGATATAATTTAAAATTTATGTTTCACAATACGATTAAAATATAATAAAATAATTAATATTATTAGACACAATGAAAATTAATATAATCTGTATCTAAAAAAGAACATGATATTCATTGTAAAATTATATTAATATTTTATGAATTTGATTTATTAAAAAAAATACTATTATTAGTATCATTATTTTATTTAATTTTTATAAATATAATTATATTTATTAATTTTAATTCTTTAAAAAATTAAATTTGATTAATTTGAACTTTTTAAAAATAGTTTTTTTTATCATCATTTAGTAATAGCATAGTATATATATGATTAAGTGTGTCACATTATTAATCATCTTAAGATAATATGTAATGTGACAAATTTAAATTTAAATTTAAATTTAATCACACCAATAAATAATAATAAGAATAAAATTTTAAAAATAAAACATATGATGGTTAAAATTAATATTTTGAAAAATTATAATTATATTTATAAAGAGTAAACACATTTTATCGTATACTGTGTATGAATAAATTAAATTAATCTTCTAAACTATATAAGATAGCAGAACTGATTCCTTACCGATAATAAATTCTTCAAAAAGAGTACCAATTTACAATGAAATTTGATATGATATACAACATGGGATCACAATGATATGCCTAATTAGTTAAGCCTAGAATGAGAATTTGTTGTCATCAAACATTTCATCTTTCTAACTAAAGGTTGTTTTTGACTTATAGATAAGAAATATATGCAGCCAAAACTTTTTAACGTTTCATTTATGGGTTGCTTGTTATGAGTTTCTTCTACATTTTTTTTAAAGGAAAGAATTCAATTATGCAATGAAAACAATTTGAGAACATCCACTCAAATAGAATGACAAAGAGGTATACTATTACATACAATGTGTGAATTCTAATTAATTATGCGTTGAAGACTCAACACAAGTTAAAGATGTGATGTTGCTGAGAAGTTTCAGAAAGAGTAATTTAAAAGAAAGATTGTTAAACCTAAATTTTGAGATGATTATATTTATTATTAATTTCATCTATATTAAATATTCAATATAATTTATTAGAAAATATTATTGGATATTGTTCCTGGTAGGGAAACATTAGTCTTCAGGTCTCTACTCAAATAAGGTGACGTCCTTCCATATCTTGCTGATGTTGCTTGACGTGGGAAGGGTACATGCAAAAAGCACTCTGATGCTGAAGTCAGGATTCGGTTCTGAGCAATAAATACTATTTAATATTCAAAAGTCAACCTTTTACCTGTACCTCCTACTTTCCTTTTATAGGCAGTGTTTTGGGCTAATGGGCTTACTGAGTCAGCCCTGGTTTTGGCCCTTTAATTAGAGTAGATAATAGTTTGATTATTACCCTTAATTAGGTTAATTACCTTTAATCCTGGCCGAGAGGGTATTTGGCTTATCTTGACCGAGGGAGTACTCGGTTCCCTTCTTCTGTAGGTAAAACCAAGTAGTGTCTTATCCGGTACACTAGCCCCCAAGCCCGAAGAGGTACAATGCAAGGGCTTAATAATATACTTACCCATGGTATGTAGACAAAAGGATATTCTGTTTCAGTCAAGAGATAAGAGTACCTAGGGGGTATTCAGTTTAATGGAGAGATAAATAGGACGAGGAGACACAAACCGAATCTGTATTTAGTTTTAGATGTAAATAAAATAAAATAATTAAAAAATAAAAATAAAAATAATATAAATAATGATTTCGGCCACTTTAGGGTGTAAGAGATATTTTTTTTGTTAGGGTTTCCTCGTTTTGTATGCCTCTAAAACGAAAGGGTGCCTGATCACATCTGTAGATCTGGGAAAGATTCGATGGTTAGGAAGGGATGTGACCCTTCATATGCTTGACACCTCTGGTTTTATAAATACATGGTGGTCCAGGCCTTTTTTTATGCTTTTTTTGCTCTAAACCGAAGGGTGCATACTATTGCTCTAGACCTAGTGGTATACATTGCTTTTAGAAGTTTTCTTCCTCTTTTCGACTACTACAACAAGGTACACTTAATCATTCATTAATTTTTCCTTAGTCTGTAATGGCCAAATCACTAGAGTAGGAGGACTCATTGTCTGATTCGTTAGGGCCGACTACTGTTGAAGTTCATAGTGTCAGAGGAACTGAAGAGGGTGAGGTTTCTTCAAGGCCGAGTGGGGCAGAGGATGAAGTAGAACAAATAGTTAGGGAATGCAATGATGGTGCCAAACCGTCGGATGTTGCCGATGATTCTGAATCTACCCAATCGTTACCGAATGCCAGCCTCCCTAGGGAAAATACCGGTATTGCCTCCTTGTATAGTTCCTGACTATGAATGGGTCCATGGTGAAGTGGCCGCCTACTTCTCCCGCTTTCAAAGGAAAAAGGATCTCTAATCTTTTGTAGATCATTGCGATATTTCCTTATAGGAGTCTTCGACTCCATACCCAATAATGATCAACACTTGCCGAAGAGATGGTTCTGGCAATCCCGACCTAGTGTTCTTAGGAGGTGTTGGAATGGCCGACACCTTCTTTGTGTATAACAGTATGAGTACATGTTTAGGGAGTTAGGTATTAAGCTTCCTTTTGATGACTTCCAAATAGGAGTATTAAGAATTTTGAATGTAGTGCCGACACAACTCCATCCGAATGGGTGGACGGCGCTGCAAACCTTTAGAGTTCTTTGTAAGTTCCATTACATAGAATCAAGTGTAGGATTGTTTCTTCATGGATTAAGAAGATGGACTCCTGGTGACGTCTCAGTTAAAGAGTATCGTCATCCCCAACTTGACCATGTTCCAGAAATTACTGAATCTCGCCCTTCTCCCCAAAACTTCGTTCTTGCTGAAGGTCAGCCAAAGAAGCGCAAGGACAGGGGCAAGGAGAAAGAGTCCGAGAAGGAGCGGAAGCATTCTCGGTCAGCTGGGCCGGCTGGTGCCGAGGGGCCAAGCAAAAATGCCCAAGTAGCTAGGTCGGTAGGTGCCAGTAGCTCCTCTGCCAACTCTGTGATTCCTCCAGCGGTGTTGGCTGATTCTTTCTTTGCCGAAGGGGTCCGAGCCAGACGGGTTGTCGCCCCCGATTTACTTTCTTAGTCAGGGTGTAATATAGTCAACCATCTAAACCATAAGGCCTTATGGCACTGGTACTCTGAGCTACAAGCCTGAGCCATGGTGATGGTCCGAAGACTGGCTTTGGAGCCTTTGCAAGAACTGGAAAGGGTCCAAGGTCAGTTTTCTTCTTTTCAGAGGGCTTTAGCTAAGAGTGAAGAGGTCTAATCCAACCTATTTGAGGCCAATAAAGGACTAGAAACTGAGGTTGCTCAGATAAAGGAGCATTATAACACAATGGAAAATCAGCTTCAAACCACCGAGCAGGCACTGAGGGCTAAGCATGAAGAAATGGAAGAGGATTTAAGGACAAAGTCTCTGGAGATAGAAGAAGCTTTAAGAGTCAAATCTCTTGAAATGGAAGAGGCCTTGGCTTATGAAAGGCAAAAGGCTGAGGCTGAAATGAAGGCATTTTCTGACAAATGTTCCGACAAGATGGTTGTCGAACATGAAGCAGGCTTTCAACATGTTGTATGCCAATGCTATAAATTTTGTCCAGTGCCAACCGACTTCCATTTTGATTTAACCAGAGACTTCTTTGGCGAAAGGTTCTTACCATATGATGAAGTGGATGCTGATGTAGAACCTAATATCAAGGCCCCTAGCCGAATCCCAACTACTAAGAATGCCTTTGGTCTTGATGTTAGGGAGGGGAAATTAGAAACAATCTTTCTTTTTTGTAGTCTCTTTATATTCCTGGGCCGATAGTGCCCAAATTTTGTAATCCATTCAGGAGATGAATACCAATTTTATTTACCTCCTCTTTTTGTTAGTCGACTACTACTTATGAAGAATAATAACTTAAACCGATTAGTTGATTAAAATATCTAACAGCGTGTAGAGATTTTTCAATAAGGTATTGAATATTTACTTCAACCTTAACCGAGTAATGTGAATAATTTTTAATCGAATAGGTATACCTGGAAGGATATTTTATCTTTAACTGATTAGGGGGTGCTCGGGTAAATACGTCGTTATTAATTCATCCTTAACCGAGTAGGGAAACTTAAGAGGGCATAATAAATTCATCCTTGGCCAAGTACAAATACTTGGGATGAAATTCGAATGATTGATTCATCCTTAACCGAGTAGGGGTACTCGGGAGGGAATAATTAATTCATCTTTGGCCAAGTGGAGGTACTCTAGAGGGAATAATTAATTCGTCCTTGGCCAAGTAGTTATACTTGGGAGAGAATTTTAATGATGGGTTCGTCCTTGGCCGAGTAGAGGTACTCGGGAGGGAATAATTAATTCGTTCTTGGCCAAGTAGGTATACTTGGGAGGGAATTTTAATATTTGATTCATCCTTAACCGAGTAAGGGTACTCGGGAGGGAATTTTAAAAGATTGATTCATCCTTGGCCGAGTAGGGGTACTCGGGTGGGAAATCAAGTGATAATCCAGAAAAACTAAATAGCTGTAGAAGATGTATTTTATTGATAATGTGCCTCGTTAAAAACCTTCTCAAGAAAACTTCTTTTCACGTTCTTTTACGATGACAAAATTTGGGTGAGGAAAAGAGTGCACCGATTACATATTACAAGTGTATAACTGAAATAATGCTTTAAATGTGTGTTGTTCCAAGTTCTCGGTATTGTCTTTCCTTCAAGTATCTCCAACTTGTATGACTCATTGTCTAGCCGTGCCGTTACCCGAAAGGGTCCTTCCCAATTAGCAGCCAAGTTCCCTTCTCGTCGGTCCCGGCATGCTTCTCCTATTACTCGCTACACCAAGTCATTAACATAGAATTGTCTTGGATTAATTTTTGAATTGAACTTCCTTGCTATTATCCTTTTGCTGGGCTCAGCCACTATCGCTGCGTGACCGCGTACTTTATCCAATAATTCTTGGTTGATGGCTAGGGATTCGTCGTTAGCTGATTCGTCAAAGTGTTGTCTTCGAAATGATGGCTCTCCAATCTCGACTGGCACCATGGCATCAGTACCATAGGTTAACTGAAAAGGTGTCTCCTTTGTGGTTGTTTGTGGTGTACATCAATAAGCCCATAAGATATCGGACAATTTTTCTGCCTATTCTCCTTTGCTGAATCCAATCTTCTTTTAAGTTCATATAAAATGACCTTGGTTTGCAACCTCGGCCTGTCCATTAGTCTGAGGATGTTCAACAGATGTGACTCTGTGTTTGATTTGAAGCCCTTCCAAAAATTTGAATCGTCAATCCATGAATTGCAGCCTGTTATCTGTTATCAGAGCATGAGGTCCAAACCGTGTGATTATATTTTTTCATGTGAACTTCTGCACGTTGTTGGCTGTGATGGTGGCCATTGGCTCTGCTTCAATCCATTTAGTAAAGTAGTTTACAGCTACAATCAAGAATTTACACTGTCCTTTTGCTAGGGGAAAAGGACCAAGAAGGTCCATTCCCCAAATGCAAAGGGCCAAGGAGAACTGATGGGGTGAAGGGTGTCGGCATGTTGGTGTATGTGAGGACCGTGTTGCTGACAGGGGATGCACTTCTTTACAAAGAAGTATCCGGCTCTCAGAATCTTAGCTGCCATGGTTCGTTCGCCCGAATGGATACCACAAATTCCTTCATGAATTTCTGTCATCACATAACTGGCCTAATCCTCATCAAGACATTTCAACCTGGGTGTTGAAATTCCTCTTTTGTACAATTCTTTATCAAGATGTACTTGGCGGCCCGTGTAACGCCCCAAATTTTTGTTAGTTGGCTATTAGCTCTTGAATTTTAATTATTTACTGATTCTGACTTGCTAGTGTCGGAATAATTAGATAGATGCTGAATTTTCTATTTTTTATTCACTGAGGAGAATAGTGACTTGATCTCTAAGTTTTGCATTTTAGAGTAACTGCATGCAATACACTTGGCTTCGATATCATCCAAAATTTCCCTGATTATTTTTAACTTAATTACCCAAAATACCCCTGAGAATCTTGCTCAAAAAACTATATTTTGTCTTATTTAAATTATTAAAAAATCATAACTATCATTCCCGAAAAATGTAAGATTTTGTAATCATTACTAAATATTCTATATTTATTTGAAAAGATTTTGTAATCATTACGAAATATTCCATATTTATTTCAAAAGATTTTGTAATTACTACAAATGATTTTGTAATCATTTCAAAATATTCTATAATCATTTCAAAAGATTTTATATTTATTTCAAAAGATTTTATAATTATTTCAAAAGATTTTGTACTCATTACTTAGTCCTGTAATCATTACTCCAAATCTTTACAAATCTAGTATCGGCCACTAGATTTTCATGCAAAATATTCTTGTCCCCTAAAGTAAAAACATCATGATTACCCGAATCTTCCAAAATCTAGTACTGACCACTAGAATTACATGCAAGAGATTCTTGTCTCCCGATTCGCCGGCAAAGTCATTTCGGAACTTTCTTTTCATGTCTTCCAAATTGCCAACATCATAATTTATTCTAACCAATCACATTCTCTTGAATTTAGCACCATATCAAAAGTCTTGTCCACATGTCAACCTAGTCATGTCGCATTCTTTCTGGCCAATTAAATTACATTCATTTGCTGCCCAAAATCTTAACCTTGGAGTTTTGTGCCGATTTTTGGAAATTGCTCCACCCAAAACCCTTTGCATGCAGCCCTAAATTATTTCATGCATTTGACTTGCCAAAATATACTAACTTTGCTTGCAAGTTTCCCTAAAAATATCCATTCCTGCACTAAAAATCGTAACACCTTTTTCTTGCACCATTCTCACCAATTCACTTCAATTCTACTTCTTTTGGACCGTGAGCAAATTTTGGGACTTCCAAGGCTTATCCAATAAGCTAACCATGAGTTCCTAATTACCTTGGACCATTAAGACCTTAACCTTCATATAAATTATTCATTTTTTTCCATTTGCCCATTTTGGAAACAAGAAACCGAGACCTTAATTCTCATTCTCTCCACTTGATTTCTCATTTCTCTCTCTCACTTTGCTTCATCATTTTCATTCTCTCAAAGTCTCTCATTCTCTCAACTTCTGTCAAGAAAACTGAGAGCTTCCAGCCCCTCAAACACCACAATTTCTTCATCCAAATCACTCAAACACTTCACCCTTCCATCACTAACTTCTTCCTCCATCTTCTCTCCAATTTTCGTGTGGAAGGAACCAACCTTGGAGGAGAACTTTGAAGAACTTGGTTGCTGTTTTTCGTCCAGCAAGCTCTCTTTGAAGATCCACAAAAATTCATCCCTTTCTCTCACCATTTCACGCCCAAAACTCAAAGGCAAGGGGAGTTCTCACCTTTTATTTTGATTCTTGCTTTCCATTGGTTAAATTGTGAAAAATCCTTAGAAAGTTTTCATTTTTATCTTCAATGATCTTGGACAAAATGATTGAACCCTTTGCATGTTAAGTTTGCATCTTGCTCTCCATTTTTATCACTTCTATATTCTTGGTTTTATGCTTGGATGAGTGGACCCTTTTAAAAGTTTGAATTTTTATTCTTTGCATGTTGAATATTTTGGTGTATATCTCGGTTTTGCACTTGTTTTGGCTGAATCTTTGGTTCAAATAATGATTTACCCTTGGAGTCTTGGAACCGTGAAATGATTTGTTAAATCCCCTTTTTGCATGTTGATTTTGAACCTTGAAGGTTTCGGTTTTCCACTTTCTAAACTCAATATTAGTTTTTAACCAATGATCTTGCACTTGACTACTCAAATCATGCCTTGCATGTCTTGAACCCCTTGTTCTTTTGAGATCTATCTCTCGTTAAATAAGTGTACTCTTTGGATCACTAAAATGAAAGATCTAAGTGTCGAAAGCCCCTATGTATTGCCTCGGTTTACACTTTTTAAACATAGTCCTTTGCTGAAAATTAAAATACTGCACTTGGATGATGGAAATTGGTGTTTGCATGTTGATTTTCCTTAATTTGCTTGTTAGTGACTTGACAAATGATGAGATTTTGGAGGTTGGACAGTTCTGAATATTGTGAGGAAAAAGGTGGAGAGTAATGGATTTAGAACCTTGAAATAATTTTGAAAAGTTTATTAAGAGTAATGAGAGAAAGGGTTATGAAAGAAAAAGTGGAAATGAACTTGGATGGTCTCGGTTTTGACATCCAAAAGTGTTGCAAAATTTCAGAAAAATATTTTGTATGTACCTTGCATTTTAAGGAAACTAAAATTGAATTTGAAAGTGTGTTGCATTGATTTGAATGCCTTGAACCGTGTGGGACTTGGTTGAGTGTGTGATTGGATGATTGATTGTAAAATTGATTGTGATTGACCTTGATGTTGCTTGGTATTGGTACTTGAAATTGGTGATGTTTGCTTGAATGGTTTGCTGAAAAAATTAGAAGTGATGTGAAATAGTGTACTATTCATGAATTGTGTTATTCCTTGAAAAAACCGTGAAAATGTTGAATTGACACTTGGTTGGAAAATTTGAATGACTTACTATTTATTATGATTATGCCAAGAAATGGCCATGTTGATAATACTACATACATCATTTGCATCTTACTACAAAAGACTTGATGAACCAAGAGATTGTGCAGTAAAAAAATAATTATACAATGATATATTGATGTTGATCTAGAGCCGTTGAGGGCTGAATTATCAAAAAGGACCTTGGACCTAAATGGAATTATTGGGGACATT